GAAAAAGAAAAAAAGCACTGGAATTCTTTCTACCTAACCTGTTTTGACATTGACAGTTTCAGAACATCAAAATTTGACCACCATAATAACACATTCTAGAATAGGGACATGCCATTCGGAATTTTTTGGACTTCAACTGCCGGAATTCCTCATTTTTGGAGTTTCACTTGACAGACCTACACATTAAGACACCTAAATGTATCTCACTTGGAAGAAGGCCTAACGCGAAGCCTTCACAACCTAGCTTGCTGTTCAAAGAGGAAGCTACCATAGTAAGGTAAAGGTAAAGGTTCCCCTTGACAATTTTTGTCCAGTCGTGTTCGACTCTAGGGGGCAGTGCTCATCCCCTTTTCCAAGCCATAGAGCCAGCGTTTTGTCCGAAGACAATCTTCCGTGGTGCGACTTAGACACGGAACGCTGTTACCTTCCCACCGAGGTGGTCCCTATTAATCTACTCGCATTTGCATGCTTTCGAACCGCTAGGTTGGCGGGAGCTGGGACAAGCGACGGGCGCTCACTCCGTCGCGTGGATTCGATCTTACGACTGCTTGGTCTTCTGACCCTGCAGCACAGGCTTCTGCGGTTTAGCCCACAGCGCCACCATAGTACTTGCTAGAAAACTCCAGATAGGCCCAATTTAGGTGTGTGTAGATAGGATATGTCAGGTGGAATGACTAGAATGGAGCATTCTGTAGGTTGGAGCCCAAAAAATCTACATATCACATACCTAGTCTACAATAAATTGTCTTCAGTTCTTGGGAAATTTCAGTGTGCAGAATGCAGCAGACTGTATCCCTGCTAGGGCACCTTATTAAAATCATGCACCACCGGTGCCACACAATCTGTACTGGAAACTGACTGTCTTTTAGGCATAATTCAAGGGGCTGCTTTTGATCTGCAACACCTTCAACGTGCAAATAGAAGACATTCATGACTGTTAACATCACCCGAGTGTGCCTTCTTCACTCTTATTATTTGTGTCCAAAGTTCAGACTGCTGGGAACCAGAAGGAGGCTTTTGTGGACACTGTTCAGTATTTCAAAATACTATCAAAGGCAGAGGCTATGTACACTTTGGGAAAGCTCTGTTCTAACTGGCATTCAAAAGACATAGTTAAGCATCCAAATAATTAAACTATGTATTATTATTATTTTAAATGAAACCTAAACTGGCAAAACTTCCCCAGCAGATGGCACCATGGCATAAAGTTCATACCACTTGTGGTGAATGTGTCATATTTATACCTTCATTTCAATAATGGGTTCATGCACACCACTATTTTAACACATACACAATCAAATCAAGAACAGCAAAGACTGCCATTTTAATAAAAATATAAGAAAACATAAGATATTTGAGATCCTTGATACTAGCAAGGAGAGTATGCTTGAGTCCTGTGGCACTTTAAAGGCCAACAAATTAGAGTACAATCCTATACAGTACATGTTTTCTCAAAAGCAAGACCCATTGATTTCAAAGGGATTTATTCCTAGGCAAGTAGGTACAGTTTCAGTCTGTATAAGAAACTAACGCTAACCTTTGGAAGAAGGTAAAATGATGTTGTTCATTGATACCTTGTTTCAAAATGTATTTAAAAATAAGATATAGAAAAACCCTTTTTCTTTGTTTGAATTTGGTTTTCTAATTTTTGTGAGAGAAAGAATTCTCCCTTCTCCTCCCCCATTCTTATGCATAACTTTGTGACATTTCAGGTACAGAGTCCCTCAGCAGAGATTTAACATTTACATTGGTCTCAACAAAAATGGAAAGATTCGTAAGGTGAGGGATCACAGATATAAAATAGATATTTCTTTCAAAGTTCTAATTTTATCATTTTTTGTGAATTTTTTTTATGAAAGACATAAAATGATAAAAATATTATTCCTCCCCCCTTTACCCCTGCCAGTTTGCATAGTTCTTTGTGGAAAGCCTAACTGTTTAGCAACCTAATTTTCAGTATAAAAATTTTGATTTAAGTTGTGCAATTATCGACCACCAGTCATAATATTAATATATATGAGAAGTTAAAGAAGAGTAATGTGGATCAACTATTTAGTAAAGCCCACCTAGTGTTCTCAGAACCAACTCCTTATACTTCTATGGCCAAATTAACTATATGTGCCTTAAACCAGGGGTCATCAACCCCGGGCCACGGCCTGGTGCCGGTCCATCGGATTGCCAGAACCGGGACACGGATCTCTGCCCCCCTCGCACGGGGAGGCGTGTCGCGCTTGCAGGTGAGCGTGTTTAACCTTCCCTGTAACCAGCAGCGGCTCAGCCTCTGCGCCCACCAACTGGTGGGGCGGCGCAAGTGCACTCAGCGGCAGTCACTGGTCCCTGCCACACTGCCTGGCCCCCAGCCGCAAGGAGCTGAGCCACCACCGGTTGAAGGGAAGGCGAGGAGTCCAGGCTCGTGACCACCGCTGAGGGTCCAGGCCTTGGAGAAGAGAGGCACGGACCTACTCCAGCCAGCTTGGGGGTCCACCTGCCAGGGTCCCGGGGTCCTCATCCCCTGCCCCTGCTGCTGCTCTTGCTGTGGCTGCGCACTAACTTGGCAAGGTGAAGCGGGGGGTTGGGCCCAGGAGGCGCCTCCGGCCCCCAATTGAGGAGGACAGGGGGAGGGGGGCTCGGTCTCAGGACTTGGCTCAGCTCTGAAGGAGGCGCGCCCATCCAAGTCCTCCCGTGACCTTGATGCGCTGTACTAGCAGCAGCCGCGAGGAGGGAAGTGGGCTTGCCTGACGTGGTCAGAGGGCAGGCGGGGACCCTCAGCACGTGCAAGGCAGTGGGGGGGGGATCTTCCACCCTGGAAAGAGACGGCAGCGGCTGCACACTCTGTCGCCCACCTCTCCTCAAGCAGGTTGGCCCATGTAACAATGGGAGGAGGGCTATCTGGATCAAAGCCCTTCCAAGGGGGGCATCTGAGGAAGGGATTGGCAGACCCCCCGCTAGGTGGAAGACATTGAATCCTGCGCACGCCATTTCCCCCATTAGAATAAGCAGGAAACGACCCCCGACGCCAGCTGGGAGTAAACCGTCGCTCATGGCTGCCTCCACGCCTGCATTTGATGCTCTGCCTTTCTCCCGAGCTGGCTGGGTGGCTCCGGCTTTACCTTCCCAGCAGTGCCTTCCGGGAGAAGGGCCCACCTGAGTGGTCCAGGGCAAGCAGCAGAAGGAAGAAGGGTCCCAGTGCCCCCCCCAAGATGGAAGGGCTGGTAAACCTCCTAAAATTACTTCTTGAGGAGGGGGTCCCCAGAAGTCTGAATCCACTTGAGGAGCATCCGATGGATCAGGCTGCGTTTGCACTGGTGTAACCCTGAACTCTGCAGGGCTTTTCCTGGCTCTTTTTAGTGCAAAGGGTCCCTTTTCCCACCTCTATGCAAGGTGCTTGGGAAAACATGGAGCGCCTCTTTTCCTCCCACTTTCTCCGCACCTCCCACCCTGCCAAGGCCCCTCACCCTCATCAATGGTTCAGGTGAGGGAAGAACCTTTCTGGCCCCTTCTTCCCATCAGTTTCATTTCCTTCCCAAACATCTGTGCCAATTCAGCCATCCTTTTAATAATCGCAGAGGGTGGAGCAAGAAGCTGCAGTTTTTCCTGCCTCCCCCTCCTCTCTTTCTTCCTGGGCTGCCCCGTCAGAGCCCTCGAGCAACTGCAGCACAGCCCCAGGCAGGCGGAGCAACCGGGATCAACCAGGCCTTGGGACGGGAAGAGGGAAGGAGACAGGGAGGCCCACCAGGGAGGGGACATCAGCTGGAGGCGGAGGCGGCAGGTGGTGGAGCTGCTGCTGCTGACGCAAAGAGGAAGAAGCAGCTGCCGTCTCCCCGGCAACCCCAGGTCAGGAGGATAAGCAACCGAGACGGAATGCCAGCCAAACCCCCGTGGCCACTCCTGCAATGGGCTGGCTACCCGCCAAGCCATGAGCCGGGAGGAGGAAGCAGACCTCGACGCCCCACTGGCACTCCAGGGCCACCACTTCGGCAGCATAGGTGCAGAAGCCCTCATCCTGGAATACCTGGTTCAGGAGCTCCGCCCGTCAGCTCGAGGTTCTCCAGGTTCAAGCAGGCCACCATGGCAAAGTCACCTCCCCTCCGCTCAAGGTC